AGAGAGAGAGAAAAAAAAAGATTTCAAGCTAAAGAGACAGGCTCTTGCCATTTTTGGTCCTTAAAAATGCTTCACCACTTTCTCTTTTTTAATTCTCCTAACCTGTCCCACAGATAGCAATGATCACAGGAGAGAGTGTGGAGCCCCAGGATTATCTCCTTTTCATCTTCCCTTTGTGTATGCCCATCTGCACCATGTACCTTCAAACCACAAAGGAGGTGTGTCTTTTCCTTCTCCTCTACTTTGGGTGCCTCTCATCACCTCTCTTTTGATTCCCAATGTTCTCTCTGAGATGATTTTTCTGAAGGTGTGTATCCACCTGCCACCTTCAATCCTCTCATGACAGCAGCATGGTCAGACTACTTCTACCCCACTACCTTGACACTCTCCCTCAGGAACAGAAAATGGAAATAGTTTTTTTGTGTATTAAAGAAATTACATTTGCAATTAAAAACATTCCTGAAGGAAAGCTCCAGGTTTGTCTGTTGAGTTTTATGTACTATTTAGGAAGTGTCTGTTAAGTATTGGAATAATACTAATCATTCACAAACACTTTCAAAAAATAAAAGAAGGGGAAGAAACACTTTTTCATTTACACTAATTAAGACAGTGTAGAATTAGTTTAAGGATGGAAAAATGCATCCATGGGACAGAATACAGAGTGGAGAAGCAGATGGAACACACATGGGTTACTTTTGACATAGGCATCTACATACTTTGATGTAGGAAATAGGTCTCTTCAAAATGTTGCTGGAGCACCTGATTATCCATTTGGAAACCCTAATCTCTCCTTTAGATAGTACACACACCATCAATTTGAGACAGATTATAGACCTACATGTGAGATTCAAAATCAAAAAAACTTCTGGAAGAAAACATAGGATAATGTTTCTGTTACCTTGGAGTGACTGAAGATTTCTAAAGCAGGATCTAGAAGCATTAACCATAAAAGAAAAAACTGCACACATTGGACACTGTTAAATTAAAACATATTCTGTACATCCAATGGCATCATAATGAAATTTCAGAAGCTAGCCACAAATTAGGATAAAATCTTCTGAGTTCTAACTTTGATGAATTTCTGGAATACATAAGGAGAGGCTCTTTGTAAAAGAAAATATCTAATGGTCAATAAGTAAATAAAAAGGATTCTACATAAGCAGTCATAAGGAAAAGGCAAAATAAAAACAATATAATATACCAGTAGACACCAAAGAGAATGCCCCAGGTACAATTATAGTCTCAAAAAATGGGCCACACAGAAAGAGGAGAGATGCAGGCAAACAAGTAAAGCTTTATCTGTATTTACAGCTGCTCCCCATTGTTCATATCACAGCCTGAGCTCTTCCTCATGTCAGATAAGCTGTGGCATTAGATTCTCATAGGAGCGCAAACCCTATTGTAAGCAGTACACACAAGGGATCTAGGTTGTGCACTCCTTATGAGACACTAATGCCAGATGATCTGTGGTGGGAGCTGAGGCAGTGATGCAAGCACTGGGACCCTCTGGTTGCAGGAACACAAGCTCAATTCTTCCACTGATACCACATTATGGGGAGTTGTATAATTATTTCATTATATATTACAATGTAATAGTAATAAAAATAAAGGGCACTATAAATGTAATGGGCTAGAATCATCCCCCAAACATCCACGACCACTTCCCAGTTCCTGGAAAAGTTGTCTTCCATGTAACTGCTCCCTGGTGCCAAAAGTTTGGGGACTGCTGTTTTATAAGACCAAACATTGGTGAGGATATGGATCAACTTGGATTCTCGTGCATTGCTGCTGAGAGCCTCCCTAGATCCAAGTCCGGAAACTATTATATAGTTTCTTATAGAGACTGTTAACACCTATCCTATCATTTATAGGACTGGCACTGAACTGAAAAAGCACAAATGCCCTTCAATGGAAGAATTAAAAACTGTGTTGCACTTCTACAATGGACTACTGCAAAGAAGTATGAACAATAAATCACCGATACACTAAAGACCAGAAATTGATCTCAGAAACACATTGAAAAAAAAAGGCGAGAAAAAAAACACATATTGTGTTGTATTCAAAACAAGGAAAAGTAATTTTTGATGCTAGAAATTGAAACAATTGTTTCTCTTGGGGTAGGATGTTGACTGGGAAGGGACACAAGGAAATTTATAGTGAAATGGGAATGGGATGACTAGCTGTGAGTAGTGGTTATCATATCACTCAGTGACAAGTAATTATAATACACTTCTACTGAACTTTTCCATTCCTGATAATGAACAATTAGCAGTCCCCTGGGAACCTGTTGTGATTTTTAGTTCTGTTCCTTTCTCCATGCTCCTCTGATGAAGTCTGAGTGTTCCAAGAGTTTGTTGTTTTGGACCTTGTGTGTCCTCATTGGTATGATAAATAACCCTGTGGTTAAGTCGATCCTCAGGGCATTTACATGTATTTCCATTCATGACTACAAGGATACTCATCTACTCAGGTGAAGAGCAGCTAGTTGATGGGAAAGTGAGCAACTGTTTCTATGAGGAAGAAAATTTGACCTTGTCTCTTTTACCTGAGTCTCTCTTGGGATGAATCACACAACCAACTGTATTTGATGTTCAGATGGACTGTGTCACAATGTCCCATAGAATAAATATGAATAAGCTTGGGAATTCTAAATAGTCATACCAGCAAACGTTAGTGTGGATTTGGGGCATGGGTGATGGCTTAGGACTTATCAGCCAGATCAGCATAAGGATTTTAGCCCTCCAGGGTTTGGAAATCTCTCTTTCTTGCAAATAATTAGCCTTAACTATTTCTCATTGGTTTAGGACATAAGTTATTCATGGACTTTTTTATAGGTCAAAGATAGTTGCAGCTCAGTTAAGAGTTTCTTTTCCATTAGCCCAGGAGAGCGATCCTGGTTTTTTGGAAGAAAAAGGAGGTACATGATCACAGAAGCTGTTTCCTATGAGCTACTTCTTGGTGAGTACTTAACCATGGAAATGATTTGGAGTCTAATGGGTCAAATATTCCAACCAGAGACTTGATATGTTTAAGCCAGTTTAGTGGATCATGAATAGTTAAAGTAATAGGTATGGCCAAATCCAAGATCTAAATGAAGTACCATTTAATTATGTTGTCTGATTCACCAGAACACTCCTAATGGAAGTCCAGACCCCTTCCCAAAGGTACAGTATCATTTCATGTGGTTTCTGACTGGGTATTGTCTTGTTAAGACAGTTAATGTTCCTCTAGTGATTATAATGGGCATCCAGTGCGATTCCAACCACACTAGAATTTTCTACTGTAACAATATTCCCCCTCAAAAAGGAAAAGTTTAAGGGTGATTTATGACTAATACCAGAAGGAATCACCTCATTCTGTTAGGATGATATAAGGAGAGGAATCCTGACTCTGCATTGTGTGCTTATCTACTGAGTCAGAACAACCAAGCCACGCAACTATTATTCCCCCATCTTTATATATGATTTCTTTTAAATCCATGGGCTGGGTAGTTATGGATTCTTGAGAATGAGATTTCCTGTTCACTGGAGGCAAACAAGGAAAGAGCTCAGGCTAAATGAACTTCATGAAATTAAAGAGTTGAAAGATGGTAATAGAAATACTTTTTAAAAAATGCTTTCTATTTTCAGAGGGCTCAAGGCAGTACTCTTATAGAGTACACGTCCTACCTGAAATCTTGAAACCTATGCTGTGACCTCATGAAAGAATGTTTTCTGTGGAATGACAGCCTTCATTGTTATTGGTTAGTGTTATTATTCTTGTCTGTAAGAGCTCATGATTTCATTTTGATGTTTACTTAAATGGACTATTATTCAAAGATATTATTTTCTGGAAAAATAAAATTGCTAGACAATTTTTTTCTCAAAAGCAAAGCAAAAAGATAAACCTTCTATTATTACAATTTAACAATGGGAAAAGTTCAAATAATATTGGATAAAATATGATTTAAATAAATGGTTAATAGTTTAATAAATCATTAATTAAATAAAATGTTTAAACATAGAAAATGATCTTCACTATGAATAGTGACTGCAAGCCAATTGTTTTCTTTTTTAAACAGTGACCATCAATAAAATTCCTCATATTTCAGAGAAGATAAAAGAGAGTTGATGTGAGAAAGAGAAACTGAAATAATGATAAAGAGGAGGAATGAGACAGCAGTCCAGGAGTTCATTCTGGAGGGGTTTCCTGCTGTCCAGCACCTGGGAAACGTCCTGTTCCTGGTGCACCTGCTGGCATACCTGGCCTCCCTCACTGGAAACACCCTCATCATCTCCATCACCTGGGCTGACCATCGCCTCCATACACCAATGTACATTTTACTCAGCAGTTTCTCCTTCTGTGAATGTGGTTTTATCACCACTGTTATTCCTAAATTGCTGGTCATCTTTCTTTTAGGAAGGCAAGGAATTCCCTTTACTGCTTGTCTCACACAAGCCTTTTCTTTCTTATTTCTGGGGGCAACACTTTTTTTCCTCATGGCTGCCATGTCCTTGGATCGATACCTGGCCATTTGCAAGCCTCTACACTACCCGACCATCATGAATCTGAGGGTTTGTTTCTTTCTGGTTTCCTTCTGCTATGCTTTGTCCTTCCTCATCATCACTGGCCTGGTCATCGAGGTTTCCCAGCTGCCCTTCTGTGGCCCCAATGTTATCCCTCATTTCTTCTGTGATCTTGGCTCCTTAATACATCTCTCCTGTTCTGAAACCAGATCTATTGAAATGTTGGCTTTCAGCCTCATTTCCTTTATCCTTTTTTCATCCTTCCTTATAACCTTAATTGCATATAGCAACATAGTAGTCACCATCATGAGGCTCCCATCAGCCAAGGAGCGGCAGAAAGCTTTCTCCACCTGCTCCTCCCACCTCCTTGTCCTCTCTCTGATGTATGGCAGCTGTGTCTTCATATAAGTGAAACCAAACCAAACAGACAGACTGGACTCCAACAGAGAGGCTGCCCTTGTGAACACGGTGGTGACTCCACTGCTGAACCCAGTCATCTATACTCTGCGCAACAAGCAGGTTCACCAGGCTCTGAGGGATGCTGTGTCTAGACTGAAACTGCAGAAATAGGATCATAGGTTTGTGGGGTTTGTGGAGAGTACATAGATCTCCTTGGTCATCTAATTCACTTTCCCACCATGGTAGAAATCTTCTCCATGAAGTCTCCATAGAAAGTGATCTAGATGATGCTAATATTCACCTACACAGATGTTGCCTTATTTTGAAGTCCAATGCCGTTCACTATTTGATAATTCAAATTTGTTTTCTATACTGTGATAAAATTATCTTTCTTGGTTTCAACTCATTAGTTTTGAATGAATTCAATTAAAACAACATTTATGGAGAGAGAGCCTAATATACAGAAATCAAATAATAGGAAGCATTTAGTCTAGCCATAAACAAAATGAAAGACTTTCAAGTGTGTGCATTTTCTACCTGTGATTGAATGTAGCCAAGGCCTAGACCCTTTGTAACAATGAAAATACATCCTGCATATCAGATATTTATGTTACAATTCATAACAGTAGCAAAACTATAGTTATGAAGTAGCACCAAAATTAATTTTATGGTTGGGGGTCACTACAACATGAGGTACTGTATTAAAGGGTCATAACAATAGGAGGCATTAGGAAGATTGAGAACCACTGCACTAAACCCAGTCAGTGGAAGAAAGGAAGATGGTCTCAGGATCATCATGTGCAACAGATGTCTTCCCTAATGTGACTTTAGTAATAGAGAAGGCCAATGTCTTCTGGGATAAACTAAACTCTGGTTGACAGTCTGCATTCTGTGCATGAAAAATAACTTTTTCATGTTCGAAAAGTATAAAGACAACCAAATTAATTATTAATGAAAAGTATTAAAATTGAGTCAGTTATTGTCGTTACCTGTTCTTTGAACAAGTTCCTCCCACACAAAAGCAATGGCTCCAGAGGGAATTATGTTCCTGCCACTCTCAGTGCCCCCATCTGCATGGTGTTGTTTGACTTTTACCGTGATTTCAGTGCATATTTTCCTTGTGTGCTTGAGAATTAATTGTCTTGAAGGCATAATCTGATCAAAGAGTGATCAGGTGTTTTATATTTGGAACGGCTTAACTATAGGCTGTTCTGGAGACTGTAGTCTGCCAGGGACAGCCATATATGTGTCTCTCCTGTCTTCAAAAAAGGAATTAAGCAGACAACTTATACCCTCATCAAAAGACAGGGAACTCAGAGTTTAGTGAGAACATGCACCTGGATGTCAGAACTCTGAAATGCATTCTAGTAAATCCAGAATTCAGCTGGAAGAAGTGACCATAAAAACCCATAGGGATGGGGTGGTGCCTGTGGCTCAAAGGAGTAGGGCCAGCTCCATATGCTAGAGGTGGCGTGTTGAAACCCAGCCCTGGCCAAAACAAAAACAAAAACAACAACCCATAGTGATGAATGAGCCATAGTAGCAAGATGGAATTCTGAGCCTACTCCTTAGCCAGTATACCAGTAAAGAAAGCTTGGCTCTTGCAGGGTGGAGTTTCCTTCATTTGCTCTGGGAAAAAGAAAAGATAACCTCCCTTAAAGAAATTAAATTACTTAATTTGGGGAAATTGTAGATTAACATACAGTTTTAAGAAACAATACAGAGAGATCCCACATCCCCTTTACCCAGTTTCCTGCATTGTTAACCTCTTGCAAAATAAAATATAATATCACAGCCAGAATGCTGATGTTGATGAGGTCAAGATCTAGGACATGGCATCCCTGCAGAGGTACCTCCTGTTGATCTTCTGTGGCCACACCCACTTTTCTCTTGCTGCAGCTGTGTATCTGTTGTCCATTTCTACAATTTTTCCGTTTTTGGCAATGAACATATATGGCCAGACATGGTGGCTCATGCCAATAATTCTAGCAAACTGTGAGGCCAAGGTGTATTGATAGCCTGAGCTCAGGAGGTTGAGACCAGCCTGAACATAAGTGAGATCCTGTCCCTATTAAAAATAGAAACCGTACTCAAGCATTGTGGTGGGCACCTGAAGTCCCATATACTCGGGAGGCTGAGGCAGGAGGATCACTTGAGTCCCGGAGGATCACTTTGAGGTGGATGTGAGCTATGATGCCACGGCACTCTACCCAGGTAACAAAGTGAGATTCTGTCTCAAGAATAAATAAGTAATAAATAAATAAATAAATAAATAAAAGTGTTTGTGTGTGTATGTAAAATTATATGGAATATAGTTTTGGGATTGGCTTTTTTCACTTAGTGTAATTCTCTGGAGATTCTTCCAAGTTGTTGTATGTTTTAATAGTTCCTTCCTTTTTATTACAAAATATTATTTCATGGTATGTATGTACCCCTTTTGTTTAATGATTTACCTGCTAAAGTACCTATGGAGTGCTTGCAATAGTTCATTATAAGTAAAGCTTTTCTAAAGTTTCCTGTATGGGCTTTAGCATGAAGGGATGATTTCATTTCTCTGGGATAAATGCCTAAAAATGCAATTGCTGGGTTGGATGGTAGCTACGCATTTGGTTTTGGAAGAAACTGACAAACCGTTTTCTAGAGTGACTTCACCAGTTGACATTCCCACTAGCAACATGAGTGACTCAGCTTCTTCTCATTCTCACTAGCATTTGTCATTGTTATTTTTGTTTCACTACAATTTGAAATTAATCAACTAGTAGCTATTAAGGAATATAATATTTTGTATGAAATAGTATCACTTAAACAGCCTAAAGCAGTGATTCTTAACCTTCCTAATGCTGCGATGTATTTTCATTGTTACAAAGGGGTCTGAGAACCACTGTTCTAAAGTATCTTTTTTCTTTAATTAAAATTTTATTAAAAGAATTGCATTCACATAAAGTTGTAAGGGATAGAGATCTGTACAGTTTGCCTATTTTCTACCAATCATAATGTTTTCAAAAATTACAGTTCACTATCACAATCAAGATACTGACATTGACACAATCCACACACATAAATGCAGTCATTGCCTCCTTCTTCTAGCATTCATTCTAGATTGTCTTTTGCCCTTGGCCAGGATGTCTGTTGTTTTTCTTGCTTTCCCTTTACAGTAAGCCTGACTTTGATACTGAATGGTCTGAACCCCTGGTTCCCATCCCCTTAATAGATCATGGTCATGGATGCTATAATTTAATTACTAAGCTTATTGCCACAGAATCCCATTAGTTTCAGAAATGATCCAATCCTATTCTAAATACTCCTAATGAGGTCTAGGTGTCTTTGAGGTTTGCTCATAGTCTCTGCTGCATTGACAAGTGATCAACAAATCATAAGGTCACTTTACCTTCCATTTCAGATCATAGCATGTAAGGGTCTCTTTCCTTCTGGAGAGACAGGAAAGTAACTGGTGACATTAGCACACTCAATGTATCCTAAGGGGGCTGTGTTCATGGGGAGTCAGTAGACTGAGAGGGTCTCCTGTTTGGGTCTGTCCTGAGCTGGATCCATAGCAAACAGGTTTGTGTCTCAACAAGTGTTCACAATTGCTCATCACTTATTTGCTGCCTCCTGGAGCCTTGACCTGACCCAAGTTTGACAGGCTGCTCTCCTCCCCACAGGTTCCAAAAGCCTTGGCTTGCCCCAGGTCTGAGCAGGCACTCAGCTGCAGAACATTTCCTCTTGACAGCTCATTCTGGGAAGTGGCCACTCCTATTTCTCTCCAGCATGGGGATGATGCATGAATCTGTAGCTGAGACAAGGACCATCAGAGCAATTAAGAGCCAATATGAAGTGATCCATATACAGGTATATCCCAAGGAAAAGGATATCATGCCCATTATTTCCTTGGGCTAGGCATGGAGGGAATGAATGCTTTAGCATTAGTATTATTTCCATCATTCCTTCATCATCACAGGCTAATATACACTCTTATGTTGTGTGAATTGGTGCCACAGAGGACAAGTTTGCACTGAAATGTCTTAAAGAGGGGAGACTGAAGCTCACTCTGGCATGCAGCCTCTAACTTTATTTCTTGCAAGTTTATATAGTCTTACCAATACTAAGTTCTGCACATACACATTCTATTAATGAAACTAATTGGCAGCCAATGGTTTATGTGATAAGAGCACAAAGAAACCATACAGAGCGACTACAAAAACTTATTCAGCCATTTGTCTGAGAAAACAGGTGCAACATGTAACTGAAATGAGCATTACTTATCTTATTTTCCACTCCCAAAGTCCCTTCCAGGAAATTCCAGAGACAGCCAGACTCTGCTTGTAGAATCTGCCTCCTGTATGACTAGCTTGGTAATCAGTTTGGAGGGTCTTAAAGGAACATCCCTTCATGTGGACTCTGAAAAAGCTTCTTCAAACATAGGTCAATGGCACTCAAGATTATATTGAGGTTACACTCTTACATCAGTTTCATTATTTAAATGCTTTTTGGTAAGTAGTTATTAATTCTGTTGAACCATATTTATGGCTAAAGATGAAGTAATATGGAAAGAGTGTAAGTTAATACATTTTGGTAAAGTCAAGGACATGGCTGTTATTAAAGGGAGACTAAAAAGTCAGTAAATGATTTGCAATTAAAATAGATTATCATCAACATGTGAAATATTGAGTGAGAAGATCATTATGCACATCAAGACGAAATGTGGCTTCAAGAAAACAGATTTCCACTTTAGAGGCGATGTGTAAAGAAAAATTAAATGAACTCCACCACAGACTCTCCACTTGAAACACTGTGGAGTCCATATCACTGTACAAAGGACAAATGGTTCTCTGTAGCCTTCCACTCCCAGACCATGTGATTTTGATAGACTTGAGATTTTCATTCTGCACATAGTCTCCCTCAGAGTCTGGTGAACCTGCCTCTTCTGCAGAGTGTAGATGACTGGATTGAATAGTGGAGTCATCACCATTGTAATCCAGCTTGTCTCTTTGCTTTTTTTTTTTTTTTTGGCTAGGGTTGGGTTTGAACCTGCCACCTCTGGCTTATGGGGCCAGTGCCCTACTCTTTTGAACCACAGGCACCACCGCTTTTGTCTTATATATATAAAGACACAGCTCCTATGCTTCAGAAAGAGGACAAGAAGGGGACCAAGTGGAGAAACTTTCTGCTGC